GCATGTTGTAAGGAGGGACCAGTCCTTGGAGAGGGATGTCATGCTTTGGAGGCTGGAGGGACAGCGCAGGAGAGGAAGACCCTCGATGAGATGGATTGATAAGACTGGCACAGGACAAAAGAGGGTTTAGGGCTGTTGTACATAGGGTCACTATGAGTTGCAGGCACCTCAATGGCACGTAACAACAAACAACAACAATAATATAAAATAAATAAATAGATAACTTAGGTGAAAGGAAAGGCCATATCCAATAAGGCTTGGACTAGATATTATCATTAATTACATTAATAAAATTTAATTACTATTGGAAACAAAATGTTTATGGATGATGGAATGGAAATGCAATATGATTTGTAAACTTTCATGTAAATTAAGAGTACCCCATTAGAGCAGCAAAGCCTGGACACCCAGCTCTAATACACCTTGGAGCAGAAAATGATAGTTGTTGTGTACCATCGAGTCAGAACTGACACATCGCTGACCTTCTGGAGGGTTTTCAGAGGCAGTTAATTGCACAGGAGGAGACTGCCCATCCTTCTTTCACGGACAAAAGGATAGTATAGACTCTATAATACTTGTCCTTTTAGAAAAACCTTTTTTCTTTATTCATTGTTGCATATTTTTTCCCACTACCCCCTTCCCCAGCCCACCCCACAATGCACCTCCTGTTCCAGATTGTTCTCCTACATATAATACATAATCATATATTCCTTTCAGACAGTTCTTCTCTTCTGCAGTGTTCATTATCTACCCACTCTTTCCCATTCCCTCCTCAACCACTCCCATGTCTGTCTTATTTTATAACAGCAGTGTTATGCAGTATTTATCCTTTTGTGACTGAGATACTCCACTTAGCATAACGTCCTTAAGGTTCCCCCATGTTGTATAATGTTTTATTATTTCATTGTTATTCAGTGCTGTGTAGTATTCCATTGCATGGATATACCATAGGTTTTCTATCCATTTGTTTGTTGATTGGTACTTGGCTTTGCTTCCATCTGTCCTGTTGTGAATAATGCAGCAATAAATATGGATGTGCATGCATTTGTTTGAGTTGTGGCCCTGGTTTCTTTATAGTCCCAGCAGTGGGATTGCTGGGTATTTCTAACTATTTGAGAAGGCATTAGAATGCCTTCCATAGTGGATGTACGATTTTACATTCCCACCAGCAGCGAATAAGTGTTCCCATCTCTTCACAACCTCGCTAGCATTTGTTACTTGCTACCCTGTTGAACTTTGCTATTGTTGCTGGGAAAATGATTTTTCAATTATGATTTGAATGAAAGTTTACAAAGAAATGTTTTTTTTCATTCACTCATTCATACATATTCCTCCTCCTTACCCCAATCCACAAAGCATGTTCTGTTATGTGTAAAACATATAATGTCTGATCATCCATCCATTTCAGATTAAACTTCCCTTCCTCTATTCTTTTGTTTTGTTTTTTATTTTATTATTTGTGTGTGTACCGTCAAATCAGATCTGACTGGTACAGGAAGAGATTACCCCTCCTTCTCTAGCAGAGCATCTGGTGGATTCAAACCGCATACCTCTGGGACTGCAGTGCAGCTTCTTGTCATGAGGCCACCAGAGCTCTCTCCCTTCTCACTATTCTAATGCAGTTGTTCATTATCTATATTTTTTTCTGTTCTCTCTGTCATCTTCTTCCCCTGTCACCATCCTACTTTTTTTTTAAATTTTCTCCTTTTTTTTACCATCCTATTTTTATAACAGTGACTTTGTACAGTATTTGTCCTTTTGTGACTGAGTTATAATATTTGTCCTTTTGCATTTCATTCTGCATAATATTCTCCATGCTCACCCATGTTAGAAGGTGTTTTAGGAATCATCACTCTTTAATTTTTTTTTCTTTTACTTTTTTTTATTAATTCAAATCAAAGTTTACAGAGAATCATCACTCTTTGATATTGTGTAGTATTTAATTGTGTTTACATACTACAAGTGGTTTGTCCATGCATCAATTGATAGGCATTTATGCTGTTTATATGTCTTTCTTAACGTGCATAATATGGCAATGAACATGACAGGGCCTACAGCTATTTGTGTCCTAGCCAGCAGAATTGGCGGATCAAGTGGTTTTTTTGGTTTCCAACATTAGGAAGGGCCATACTCTTCCACAGTCGTTGCACTATCTTGCAGCCCCGCCAGTGGTGAGCAAGAGTCCCAATCTCTCTGCACCCTCACCAGCATTTGTTGTTTTCTATCTTAACTGAACTTTGCGTTTACTGCCATTGTGAGATATCTTACTGCTGTGTTGATTTGCATCTCTCTCATGACTAATGATTGCAAGGATTTCTTCATGTGTTTATTGGCTGCCTGAATACGTTTTTTGGTAAAAAGTTTGTTCATGCCTTTGACTCATTTTTCAATTGGATTGTTTGTCTTTTTGTTGTTGAGATGTTGATGTTTTCAATATATTTTAGAGATTAATCCATTGTAACTACTCTATTTTGCTGTTGCCAAATATTTTTAATAATATGTAGGTTTCTCATCATTTTGTTCAAATTGCAGCAAGTGCAATAACATATTAATCGATGAAGAAACAGGCAGGGACTCTTACCTGGGTTCAGTACTGTCCAAGGCATCCTTATCTCCTCTTTCACACGGTGTGCGCAGTACCTCTCTGGTTGTGACTGTCTGTCACACATGAGTGAAGCTCCTGACCTCGATGCTCGGTGTGAAGACAGAACCAAAAAGGACTTTAAGGGAGCTCTGGTGGCCTGGTGGCAAGAAGCTGCACTGCAATCCCGGAGTTACAGTGTTCGAATCCACAAGATGCTCTGCTGGTGAAGGGAGGACAATCTCCTCTTGTACCATTCATATCTGATTTGATGGTACACATTCAAAAATATTATAAAAAATGAAAAAAAAGGACTTTAAAAAATGGCTGAGAGTCATGAAAATACATCTCACATACTTTCGACATGTTGTCAGGAGGCCCTAATCCTTAAAAAAAGACAGGATTCTGGGAAAAGTAGAGAGTCAGTGAAAAGGAAAAGACCCTCAGTGAGGTGGATGGATCCAGTAGGTGCACCAATGAGCTCAACACAGCTTTTTAATTTTTTTAAAAAAATTATTATTTATTTTGTGTACTGTCAAATCAGATCTGACTGGTATAGGAAGAGATTGCCCCTCCTCCAGCAGAGGATCTGGTGGATTTGAACCACATACCTCTGGGATTGCAGTGGAACTTCTTGCAACTAGGCCACCAGAGCTCCCTTCAACACAGCTTTTAGTGGTCTTTTGTACACAGGGTAGATACAAGTAGGAACTAACTCGATGCCACTTAACAACGATGATAGCTGCACCTCAGTAGAATGGTTTTTGCTTCTAAATGCACAAAGAAAGACCATGCTTTGAGAAGCGATGAGGGAACATGAGGTCTCTGAAGCACATAACTTGTCCTTAGCCCTGGTTTCTCCATCAACTGTGGGGTGATCTTGTTGTCAAGCTATTCTGTTTGGGCCTTTTCCCTAGAAAATATCCACGCCTTTTACTTGAAACTCCTTTCACCATATTCTCGAGAAGTGACTATGCTTACATAATACACCGAGTTGGTGGTGGGGAATTTCACGGGGAATGTATTAGACACAAGGATTGTGCTACTATAGAACTAGCCTTTTCATGTGAAAGGAACAAACAGAAATAAAGACGAATCTCAGTTGAAATCCCTTCCCAAAGAAGAAAACGCGAGAGATAAAAGTTCCAAGTGACACCCCCAAATTTGGAGGTCAGGAGGTTAGCTTGAACATTGCGTTTATTTGCTGAGCAGCCTGTTTTAAGCCGGAATCTATGCTTATCTGTGGTTTCTGGGAGACAGAACCTGTTTAAGATTAAGTAATGAGCAAAAAACTCTCTGCAGCAAACCGATTGGGCTGCTGGGAGAATAAATTAAGACAATTGCACATCGAATGAAGATGACAGAAGAACTGATGCCTTTGAGTTGTACTGTTGGAGAAGAGCATGACTAGCCCATGAACTGCCAAAAGAACAGATATGTCTTGAAAAAAGTGCGGCCAGAGTGTTCCTTGGATGGTGACGTTTTGTTTGACATACTTTGGGCATATCGTTGGGAGAGGCTTAAGAGAGGGACATCATACATGAAAAGGTGGAGGGGTCAGCCCTATTTGAAAAGATAGCCCTATTTGAAAGCTCTCCTCCACCCCAGCCCCTGCTTTGTTTCTTTTCTTAGCACTCACATCACACCTCCAGTGGCCAGTTTCTGGAGAGGTCATCCCAGGAATGGGGTGTCATTCGCACTATGTGATACCTTGTGTTATGTACCGCCGAGTCATTTGCCGACCCTCCAGGGTGTTTTTCAGAGTAAATCGCACAGGAGATTGCTCATGTTTCTCCCACGGAGCACCTGGTGGATTCGAACAGGCCGCCTTTGTGTTAGCAGCACAACTCTATCCACCAGGCCAGGATACGGTGCGTTTATCTGTTCTCTCTCCTTCTTGCTCCCACCTGTTGATGTCAGATGTCCCCAATGTACATCTTTTAGTTTTTATTGATAGGAGGGCAGAGTATTTGTTGTTGTGATCGTGCTGCGCATATAGTCGGTGCTGAGTGATCTCCTGTATGCAGGAGGGACAAACGCACAGCGAATGAATGAAGAAAGCGGCCGCCTGCACTCTTTTGGCCGCCCGCAGCCCCCGTGGGGTCGCGGCGCGCCGCCGAGCGCGCGTGCGCACTGAGGGCCCCGGCCGTGTGCGCGGCTCCGGGATCGAGGCCGCACTCCTTCGCTCGGCGGAGGGTTACAGCGGAAAGGCCGGCCCGGGGCGGGCAGCTGGGAGGGGCCGGGGGCGGGCCGGGGAGCGGCCGCGCGAATGTCCCCCGGGGGGCGGCGGGCGGCTCAGTCCGTGCCGGTCTGCTCACCGCCGCGCTCGCCCGTCGCCCCCCACCCCCATCCCACGCCGACCGTGTCCCCGGCCTCGCCCCGCGCCCGCTGTCACCGCGTGGCCAGCGCCGCCGCCGCGATGTCCAAGGAGCCGCGCGCCGGGCGGGAGGAGATCATGGAGTGCCAGGTGATGTGGGAGCCGGACAGCAAGAAGAACACGCAGATGGACCGCTTCCGGGCGGCCGTGGGCACCGCCTGCGGCCTGGCGCTGGGTGAGTGGCGTGACCCGGGCGCGGGGCCGGCGGGAGGACAGCGGCCGAGGCTACCTGGCCGGAGCCCGCCTCCCCCAGAGGGTGTGGTTCCTTCTATGCAGTGGCGAGCTGGGCCAGCAGGTCCCCAGGCCAGGGGGCCTCTTCCTGTGTGTGTGCCCCCTGCCCCCTGTGCATGGGCGATCCCCTCGGGGCTGGCAGTGCCCCTTGGCCATAGGGCCCACCTCTCCAGGCCGGTGGCCGCCCCTTGGCCAGCGTGTCCCCCGAGTTGCCTGGATGGACGCCCGCTTTCCAATCCTTTTTGTGCGTTGAAGGCTCCACTTGACCAGGAATGGGTCCTTCTGTCTGGGATGTCACCCCCTCGTCCGTGGGACCTTTAGGATGGGGGGGGGGCCTACTTCCTGACCTCACTGTCTTTACCACTCTATGGAGCTGACCTTCCCTGGGAGGGTCGCCCCCACCTGGCTGTGGTCCCCTTCCTCACAGAGGGTGTCTTCTCTCCCCTGACTGCTCAGGAGGTGCCTCCCTCCTTTCCAAAACCTCCAGACCCCCTCTCATAGCCCGGCTTCTAGAAGGTGAGCCTGAGTTTCCCACACGGAGAAGGACAGTTGGGTAGAGACCCTTCCACATGGTTAACGGCCCCCACACTGGCCTTAGACATCACCTAATTGGGACCCCCTCTTTCCAGCACCACCTCCATCTATTTATCACTTTGGGAGCATCTCAGGCGAGAGAGACAGGTGGGACACTCCCAGGCCAGCTCTCAGTCCCCATTGCCTTGTCAGGTATTGTCCCATTGCCTGCTGGAGTCCCTGCCCTTAGGGTAGCTGCAGGGATCCTCTCTGCAAAGGGCTCCTCCTATCTTTTAGTCCATTACCAGAAATGGGGGCCCAAGTGGTCAGTGCCTGGGTTTCTCACTGCACTGCTGGGCCCCTTCCCTACTTCCTCTTCCCTCCCCCTGCTCCTGCTTGTGCCTCCCTGTCCTCAGTCCCTGTCCCCTGTCCCCTGCACACGGATTCTGTCTAACAGCCTTCTGTGCTTCCTTCTTCCTTCCGCACCACTCAGGAGGCCCTCCAAGTCTTGCGAGAATAATCTGGAAGCCCTGCTGCAGAGGCTATCAGTGGTTTCTTGTTGGCCCCAGGGCAGCAAGCTGTGGAGCCCCTGCACCGTGGCAGTCTGAGCCTCTACACACCCCCTTGCATCAGCCGCCTGTCACTCTCCCCTCTCCTTCCCCATCTCCCTGGAGTGAACACCTTGGGACAGGTGCTGCCTTGCATAGTCCCTAGAACCTTCCAGGTGGTGGTTGGGAAAGAAGGTAGTGAGTGCTCTGGATTTGTGGAGAACAAGCTTGACCCTGGAGGAGCAGGGTGACTGTGGAGTGGGGCCTCTTCTTCCTGGGCCTGGCCTTGGTTCCTTACCTGTGTCTTCTGACAGTAGTCGCCCTGATGTGTTATGAAGTGATTTCACGTAAGGGCTGCCCTATGAGGCAAGTGACACCTCCCTCCTCCATGGGAGCTGGCCCAAGAGCAGGGAGCTGTCACCTGATTTCTTCCCTGTGCAATCACACAAGCACAGTGTCTTCTGAGCCTCAGTTTCCTCATCTGTGAAATGGGGATAGGAGGATCCGAGGGTGATGCCAGAGGGGTCTGCTAAATGAATACTAGGGAGCAGACCTCCCAGCTTTGCGTACCCTCCGCTCTGGTGACCTGAGGGCCAGATTGTCCTCTGTCCTTGTCCTCTGTTGAGTTGCCTGTGTCTCCTAATTGGGAGGATTTCCAGACCCGCTGTGTCTGGGTGGTGTCCCTCAGCTGGAGCTGGGTGGGATAATCCTAGGACTGGGTGGGGAGAGGTTGAGAGCCACCCGGATCCTCCTCCTCCTGCAGCACCCACCCGCAGTTGTTCACACCCACCTGCCTCTGTCCTTCCACTGACCTGGGCCCGAAGGCAGAAGGCATTTGCCCTCATGTTCTAGATGTAGCCCCCGCCCTGTCTCCTCTGACTATCTCCCCTCGTAGGAGCCACTCCTCTTATCTCTTTCTTGAGTATGTGCTGGTTGAACTCTTTGTTTACTTGTGAATCTTTTTCTTGTTTAAAAATAGCATCTGTGAATTTGTATTCTGTGCCTTATTAGAGATGCAGGGCAAGTGAATAGTAATGGGGACCAGCGTAGACTGGACACGCATGTGGTGTGTATGGTATTGGGCAGCACTGTAGTCAGGACATGGGTACAGAACATGCAGGTGTCCTGCTTCTCACTCCTCACTCCTACGTGGACAGGGTTTCTCTCCTTTGGTGGAGTTACACACTGGCAGACTTCAGAGATATTGCAGGTTTGCAGGTTTCGTGCCAGACTAATGCAATAAAGTGAATATTTTGCAATAAATCTAGTGACACTAATTTTTTTTTTGTTTCTCCCCAAATCAAACAAAACCTGCCAGAGAGTCACTTAACTACCCCATAAGATAAAGTAGAAGTGCCCCACGGATTCCCAAGGCTGTGATCGTTATGGAAGATTTTATTCAGACCTGGCTGGGAGGTTTGAACTGCTGACCTTTCTTTCAGATGGCAGCCCACAGCAACACCAGGGCTCCGTCTGGTTTCCCAGAGCATATAAACGTTAGGTTTACACTGCGCTGTATGAGGTGTATGATAGCAGATCAGAAACTCTGAAAATGACCAAAAATGGCACCAGCAGACCTTTGTTTTGTAAAACATGCAGGATCTGTGAAATGATAGTCAATTAGGAGTCCTCTGTTCTCTGCTGTTCAGTTTGTCTGGCTTTTGAAAA